CTAATTGCCTAATGAATTGAAAAATAATAATCGTATTTTACTTGACACACTGGAAGTCTGTTTCATTCTATCTTATTCCGTGAGCTGTATATACATACTGGAGTAACCCTTTCTTGTCCCTTACCTTCTCCGTCTCTATAAAAATATGTAATGGGGATGGCCAAACTGCGAGAATGAGTTAGGAGACAGGAACCATCTCCATCATACCTTCCCCATCGTATCTTTTTTTTCTTAAAAAACGATGGGGAAGGCAAGACATATATATACAATACTCCAATATGTAAAGAGCTCACAGAATAAGACAGATGAGACTTTCGGTTTTCAATATCAAGTAAAAGACGATTATCGTTTTTCAATTAAATTAGACAATCAGTCGATCCTCAACGTAACTATAAATATCTAATATCAATTTCCATTAATAATGTCAATTAATTCGCCATAATAATTAATTCATCTTAAATAATTTTGGTCACTAGGTTACAATTAACACATACGTCTGATTTCGGATAGAGCAAACGAAACATTTTTTTATCAATGTTAAAATTTTCCCTCTTTTTCGAATACTCTTTAAATTATATTTAAACTGTTTTTCATACGTATATATGTATAAATATGATATCACAAACAGAACACAAAGCTAATTTGATATCAAAATAGCTCTAAAATGAATTAAGAATTACTTTTCAATCAGTTTCATGAGTCACTTTAATATCATTTTGTTGACATTATCGTGATCTATTCCGCTTAGATTATAATATACATATATGTGTATACAAGTTGAGACATTTAAATTTTGAGACAGTTTAATATCTTGAATGCATTTTAGAAAAAAAAATATTTTGTGCTGTCATACAGACAGCGAAGAAGAAAGTTAATTGACAACAAAAAGCAACATAAAACGATTGGACGGACAACTATCTTCAAGATAGAAAAGAATGTTTTCTTGTTGTACTGAGTGGACAATCAGCTCCACGTAATATATCTTGAATATAATACTAATGTCGGTAGAGTACTTAAACTTTGATACTCATAACTCAGGAAGTTTACCATTACAAAAGAGATTATAATCAATGTTCTAAAAATGTCTTGCTCTCGGTTGTAAAATTATACAATAAAAAATGGAAAAAATTAAAAAGTTATTAAAAAGTATTTAAAAAATTAAAAAGTAACCTTCAAACGATTATTAAAAATCAAACTAATGATACCATATCTTACATGCCTTTCTAGACGATAAAATTTTTGCATGAAACATTTTACAATGAAAATCTTAAATCTTTTCGATCAATTTTAATGCATTATTTGAATGACCTACTCCGTGTGTGTGTGTGTGTGTGTGCGTGTGCGCGTGTGCGCGCGCATGCATGCGTTTATTGTATGTTATAATATATTTAAAACTTAACATTTAAAACGCTAAATATTATATAACATTTAAAAATATTTTTCATAAATTATAAATTGATTAATTGCAATGATAAAATATAAAATACAGAATGGAATTCAATGCAACAATAATTTTTTACAGTACATGTTACAATCTTTGTAGAGCATAAATCTTACTAAAGAAAAAATTATTACCCTTTCTCCATCAATATATAAAGAATTAAAATAACTTGAAAAAAAAATTAAACTAAAACTAAAGAATTCAGATTAATTTTTTCAAAAGCTGTCAAAAATCGATTAAGATGTTTACGTTTCTTATTTTTCGATTGTTGTATACACAAACCAGACTCATTGCCGTTTCAATGTGCCGAAAAACATATTTAAAAAATGTATGAATATATTATTTGACTGACCTTGCCTGAAACGTTACTATTTATAGATAAATTTATTGTAAATTGTATCTTTTACATTCGTGGTATATAAATGAGACAGTTGTGATCTAGAGACAAGTAAAGAACGATGTGTAAACACTGTTCAAATCATGACTAGAAATTGAGAGATTGGACTGGAATTTAACCAATCGAAATACAGTTCATTAAACTTGAGATTGGTTTTCTTTCTTTCGATTGATTAAATTCCAATCCAATCTCAATCTTTTGGTCTGATCATGGCTTTAAGAGGTTAATCTTTAGTCCGATCATGGCTTTTAATAATTTCCATTTTATCATAAATCTTCGACCCACTCATTGGCCCATTGAGAAATAGAAAGGTTTCGTTTACCTCAATATCGCAAATCTTGATCTATTTTATATTTTATATATTATATAATATTTATTTTACAAATATTTTCTAGTACTACATACGTGCCATTTCCTTTCCATTCTCCAAAAAATTGATCTTACCGCGAGAAAAGAGATCAAACCGAGCTAGTTATCGGGCTGATTTTCTAAGCGTGTGTGAATGAAACAACCCTCCACAGACACTCGATTATCTTTGGTACAGTTTTCTGTTTTTCTTTTTTTTTTTTTTTTTTTAAGGAGGTAGATAATATAGAACTGTCTTTCTCTCTATCGTACGAGAGCTAGACTTATGAAACGCGTACGATTAATAAATGCATCTCGTCTCGACCAAGGGAGAATGACAAAAAATCACTCTCTTAAAAATTAACATATTCGAGCAAATGATGGCTCGCCAAGCCAGACCTAAAAATGAAAATGCAAAGAGATCGTGGCGAGTAGACAGAAGTCGCCAACGATTCGAAGTAATCTGCAAGATAGTGCGGTAATTGGAAAAATCTGTGTATACATTCGCCGTTTAATCCGCATATGCAGTAGTAGTACATACTCGTTAGATTGATTCACGTGCATTTATAACATTCCGACGAGTGTTCCGCGACGAGTATTCATAATTATGACAACGTTAATCGCTGAGACTATAACGCCTACGATATCGGCAGCCGAACCGTTCGCGAAACCTGCCTGGCATTACAGTAAGTAATCGTAAAATCGTTTACGTAAATGCTATCCTTTGAAAAACAATCGATCAATAAATGATCGTACCGGTTCCTCCGGTTCAACATTGAATAAACTTCTTAATTTCGATACAAGATCAACGTGCGCACGGAGATAAATGTGTCTATATAAATCTACGCTTATCTACATGATATGAAGCTTCGAAAGCTCACTCGAACACCGCGAGATCTCGTCTCGTCGCGTCGGTGTGTAAGTATATAACAGCTAACAAAATTATGCGTTCCATTTGGTGACACAAGTTTTTGTCTTCGTTACTTTCTGAATGTCAAGAAAGATGGTGATGTTTGCGTCAACTTGTGTCACCCAATATGTGCATGCGTGTATACGTGCGCGCGCTTATATTTCACTTTTTCTACCTTTTTTTTTTTTTTTTCCCCCCCCCAGAAAAACGAGATACGAGCGATGCCCGAGCGTTTCACCGAAATTTCGCGACGCGATGCGATTCTCTCATCAGAGAAAATTAGTGATTGATTAGTAGAGAAACATTAGCGAGCCACCATCCTGGGTGCCTCTAACGAAATATCTGTCTGCCTTTAACAAAATATCACCACATATGTGCATGCGTATGATAAACTTTAAAGGTACAGACACAATAGAAGGAATAAGAAATTTCGTCTAACCGCGGTTTTTCGCTAAAAATTCTTAAATAAGTATTTGGAAAAGAACTTGTAACACGCGATACTCTTCATTTCGTTCTCTTAAATATCGTTTCAACTTTCAACGATATGAAGAAATGAGCTTTTCAATTAGGAATAATAAAGATTTTTAAATGCGATCGAACGTTGAGGTAGGATTAGCGTGTTGTTGGCCAAAATGGCGGGATCTTCAATAGAAATGATAGTAGCCGGAGAATTAGGAATAATAATTAATCGATCGTAATGAATCATAATGTGAGCGCGACTTTGACTAATAATAAAGAGGAAAATTAAGAACGAAAAGAAAGAATTCGCAATGTACTGCTGCAGTGATACATAATTCTATCGCGAAAGTATCATGCGAAAGTGTATATTAACAGTGATTTGTAAATCTGACGCGGTGCGATTGTACGAAAATGGTCCGATTGACGTACATTGTTGTACAGATAAACAATTGCATGACGCCGAAGACGAAAGACATTTCGAAAATCGATTTCGAAGACACGAGAGCGCGTAGCGATGTACATACACATGTACTTTCAACTATCGGAAGTTTGATCGCGCGCCTGCTACGATCTACCAAAGAGCGGAAAACAGATTCCGACATCATTCAATAAGGTTCAGTTTCCCGGTTTTGAAAAGTTTTCTTATAGAAAAAGAAAATGCGACGGGAGAACGCGATCGACGATGGCGCACATCTCTTTCGGAATCGAATCGTTCTTTGACTCGTTGCAGAAGAACTCGGATTAATCTTTCCACACGTAGAAAAGAAAAATCCAAAGATTCTAAGGCGTAAGTGCGCTCTATGCGAGTATTACTATTACAATTATTATATTAATTATTATTGGTGCTGATTCTCGTCGTTTTCCTCCTGCGATATGATGCTCGACCTGTTGGAACGCACGTCGAGATCCATTGCGAAGGGTTTCGTCGAGTTGCCGAGAAGCACCTGCGTGCTCTGACTGTCGTCGAGACTCAGCGAACACTCCAGCGAACTGTCACTGAAAGTACAGAAACAGATTTCTACTCGTCACTAGCGCCTTCGCGGATCGTCCCGGGCTGGACACGTGGTTAGTTCACTTTGACAATCGGTAACCGATTGAATTTACCTGACGATACTGGCGCGATCGACCGAACTACCGCCGCCAACGGTCGGCACCGTACAGTTTTCGCCATTGCACGGTCGCTCGCCGTTACTGCTGCAAGAGGAAGTTCTGGTACTGGTACTGGTGGTACCGGTGGCAGCTGTGGCGGCGACAGCTGTAGCCGTTGCCACCGCCGCTGCCTCCCGCATGGACGCTCGCCTAGATTCCTCGTGGCACTCGCACTTGCACTCTTCCGGTTGCACATAGTTGTAACCACCGCTGACAGTCTTTGCGATCTCATCCTCTGGCCGCGGTATCGTCTGTATCCGTTTCGGTGCTTTTCGCTTCTCTGGTATCTCTTCGAAGTTGATCCAGTTGCTCAGCCGTGCTGCTGCTGTCGCTGATGTTGCTGATGATGATGATGATGATGACGATGCTGCTGCTGCTGCTGCCGTTGCTGCTGCCGCCGTGGTCGCTGTTGATGCTGCTGTTGATGCTCTCGGTGGCAGTGGAGGTGGACTAGGTGATTTCCCTTGATTAGTAGCGCCTTTGCGGCCGCCATCCGGTGGCACCTTGCCCGCAAATTCTGTGAACGTATTCGCTGTACTGGTGTATTGCCGTCGCGGACTCTTCAACTTGAAGCTATCCTCTCGCGGCAGAGATATTTTCATCCGCTCCACACGCCTCTCATCCAGCGATGTCTGCATTACAAACTCATCCAACAAGGTCGGGTTTATTGGCGTCGTTGAGCGCGGTCTCTCGATTGGAATTGTTCTGATAACAAACAACATGATATAAATCTAGTTATTAATATAAATTAAAAATTGTTAAAAATTTATCCTCTATGTAATTTAATATTAATAATTGATTTTCATGTTTAAGATTAATATTGAATTACAAAGTAATTAAAAACTCGAACAAATAACTTTATATTATAATTTAGTATCATGTATGTACATACAATGGTATTCCGTTACAAAACCGACAAGTTTTGTCAACATGTACGAATGGTTAATTTTAAGCAAGAGTTCGTTTACATAATGGGTCGATTCTTCGTTCCCAAAATGTGAGCATTTTGTACAAGGCATGTTGTACAAGGCCCCATAATAAAAGCTCTTCGATTCCACGTGACAATCATTTGATTTATTGATATGAAATTATATTACCATTAATCACATTATAATCACAGTTACATTTATTTACACTCGGTAAATTATCTTCCTGTTCACAAGTATTATTTAAATTGTTCATCTTGCTGTAAGCATACCCAGTCTGACCTAGTTGCTCCAGTGATTACATTAGCAATATCATGACAGATGCTACCTGCAACTTCCGTTACCACCTGTTCTCCTCGTGTGCCTCCTCGTATTTCTCGCAGGAATGCAGTAACCGGATAGTTTACGTGTTCGGATGATGCTTCTGGTGCATTGGCATTTTTATTTCATATCTTAAGAACAAAGCCGAATCAATCCATAGTATAGTAATTCATTTGCTTCTTAGACTGATCATTTGCTTTTATCAACATGCTGATAAAACTTGTCAGTTTCCTAATGGAACACCCTGTATATTGTTCGCGTGTGTCGTGATTTCCAAATTTTTATTTGAAAGAATTACCTTACTTCCTGAAGTCGTTGTTTAACTGGTAGAATGGGTACAGCTACGCTCTTCTCTAATGGCAGGGTCGTCGGTACATATGGAAGATCCTCCTCAAAACTCTCCTCATAGAAGAGACCCTTTCGCTCGTCTGGTAGCTCCTCGGTTAATTTCTCGACCTTATTGCGAATAAACTCAATCTCCGAATCTCTTTCGGATTCGGAGCTGTTATGATCCAGATCGGATATCACACTAGGCGCTTTTACTAGAACTTCCTGTTCCAACGACTTGCCAATCTTATCATCGAGATGATCGAGTCTTTTAGTTTCTCGAGAAGGCTCGCCCGAGCTTACTCTTTTCTGTTGCATCGCTACATCGTCGCTTATCCTCTCAGATAGTTCTAGCTGCTGCTGCTGCTGCTGCTGCTGCTGCTGAATTTCTTTGCTTTTTCTCTTTGGCTTTGTTATGTCCGGTTTTTTGCCGGTAGACTCTCTTGACAAGCCACCAGGCAACGTTCGTAAGTCTGTCGATTTAATTTCCGATGTAATCGCCTGTTTAATATCTGATTTAACCGTAGTCGATGACTTGACTAGTGGCGGCGTTCCGACTATTTTGTTAGCCTGCGCACTGATCTTCGAGTCCCTCAACGAACTTTTTAGTGTATACGAATCTTTTGGCTCGCTCTGCGACAGCTGGCTATCTCTGGACGAACTTCTGGATGCAATTTGCGTCGCCGTAACTGATTCAATCTGCGCCTCGGTCCTAATCTTGGCAATCGACGATGGATGGTGCTCAATGGACACCTCTGTAATTATACTACCCGTATGCGGTCCCTCAGACTCGTACTCGTCCAATAGTTTGGTCGGTGTTTCCAATGGTATCGAGACACTCTCTGATGGCAAGGCTTCCTCGTAATTTCTGTCATCGGCATGCAGACTAATAAAGATCGAATCATCCTGACGATTCTTTTCCTTTTCCATGTTGAACGTAAACTCTACGTGACCGATGCTCTCTAGAGACGGGTGTTCATCTCCACTAGCGACTTCAAGATCGCACGAAGCCGCGATTGCCTCATCGTAGCTCTTCTTCCTTTCACGTTTCTTAAATAAACTCAGCGTAGACGAAAACACCCCTTTATTCTTTGAATCTTTTTTCAAGATCGAACCCTTGTCAACAGAAACTCTTTCGCGTGACTTTGAACGACTTCTCAAACTCTCCGTAGTGTCCTTCAATTTCGATGTCAGACTCCGTCGTGGCTTTGTGCTAGGTGATGGTGATTCTGGGCTCAATATGTTACCGTCGGCTCTAGTCTATTTAATTAATATAAATACAATGGTTATCGGTATATGATTCAGCAACTTAGTAGAAGATCATATATTAATATATAAAGTATGCAAAATTGTCGTTTTTTTTTTTTTAATCAAATTATATTTTAAATAAAAACTTTTAAATGTTTTAGGAAGACGACAAAACACCTCCTAAAGAAAAATATAATATATATTTGAAGATGATTATAATGATTATTTTACACACACAAGAATCACTTTAAAATTATTTAATACATCTCATAATTTATTTTTGAAAATTCAACATAATACAACTAATTTTCCTCTTTTCTTCATTAATTACTAATAAAAACCGCAAAATTGTATATTAAGTAGATTTTATGTATGTACCTTAAATAATGAAGCGAAACTACTTTTTCTAGATACGGACGATGGACTGGGTGTTCGCGAACCTTCCAAATCACGAACTTTTTGATGTCTCGGCAATTTGGGACTTCCAGTAAGACTACTTGTCGTAGGTGTCGTTTGAACAATCTCCTTAAAGTTTTGAGCTTTTTTCCTTTTGTCGTTAAAATCAAGTGTCGCAGGTTTCTGAACTTCTTGTATTTGAATCTTTGATTGATATTGTTGTTGTTGTTGCTGCTTCTGCTGTTGATGCTGTTGTTGCATTATCGATCCTTGTTGGCCCGACTTTTTGATGATTGGAACCTATCTCATACATATACACACAGTACGAGAAAAGATATAATATATTTAGCTTTCAATCTCGCTTTCAAAAGCAGATATTTACTTCTTATTCAGGAACATTTTAACGATATTTTCAATTTAGTATATATTCAAAAGAAATTCGTTTATATTTCGATTAGTAAGATTAGTAATAGATCAGAGAAGGAAAAAAAGTTTTAGGATATTTTTGTGCTATTACATGCCCATATTTTATTCTAACGATACAGAATTTTCCGATCAAATTCTATTTAATAAAATTCGATAATAAAACAACATATTTAATTTAGTTTATATAAAAAGATTCGAGAGAAAAGATCACGAGAGAAGACTTACAAATATTGCCTGGATATTTCTCGATAGAATGTATTAGGTAATTGAAAAACAAGAGCTTAACAGACAGAACCAACCTCTATATTAACTTTCTCCAGAAATCTTTTGGTAATTTCCACTTCTCGTTTGAAGATTTCCTTCCGCTCCTCACGACCGCGTCTTCTGGGCTTATCCAACGGATCCGGCTTCAGATTACCACCTACCATAGGCACTTTAATACTCTCGGGAATCAACGCCTTCGTAGTATCGGCCTCCCGCTTCAAGAGTATTTTCTCGAGATCATCGGTTTCCGGTTTCGACGGCTCTATCAGATTGTCAGCCAACGTCGGCTTGCTTCCGCAGAATGACGTCTCTAGTAGACACTTGTGAGGACTGGGAGATCTAAAGGGGAAATTCATCAACAACTCGTATGTTTTATCTTTCTCATATTACGCTGTATAATTTTCCTTAACAAAACCTTTCTCATTTTCCGTTAATAAACATTTGAGAAGGTCAAAGAAAATAATCAAGGAACTTTAAATTTTAAGCTTTGCGTATAAGTAGCAAATAATAATTTAAATAACACGATAGTTTTATTCTTTAATCAATTTCTGGCATATATCAATGTAGCAAGAGAAGCTTCAATTGCAAAGCAAAAGAAAGTTATGTTAATAATAGATTCTAGAGCAACGTTGCCGTTCTCGGCAACGTTGAATGAGATTTTCGAAAGAGTTACAGTTCGATTCTCTTAAAGAATCGAACTCCTAAAGAAATTTTTGCGCCAGTAGATTTTATATATATTGTATATATAATGAAAAAAATATGTTATATTGTTATATATATATATATATAAAAGATATTTTCATCTTCATTATTTTGCATTCTTTACCTGGAGGAAGTCGCCGACATAACCGAGAGTTTCCCCGAGACGCCGGAGCCTTGACTACCAACTGACGACAATCTAGATGTTCTACCGCTGATGTTGAGCAAACATATCTCCGAGCAATTACTGTCCTTGCGTTCACGATCCTGACCTAACTGCTTGCCGCTATAATCCGATTGGGATCCATCGGTCTCCTTTCGCTTTCGCCTTTTAGACTCCCGTTTGAGATCCTGTTCGTGGATGGGATCCTGTAAATCCAGCTCCTCCGTAGAAGACCTCAGATCTTGAGCGTCTTCTTTATAACCCAGAGTCAGCTTGCAACCGGACGGAGGATCCGCACCTAGAAATTCACGGGATCTCTAAAGTTTTCGTTCCTAAACGTTCTCCAAAAGTTTCTAATAACTTTTAAAGTCTATTTAGATTAAATCGGACGTTTAAATGTTACGAAAGATTTCTCCCTTCTTACATTTGATATCATCAATCGTCCGTATGATCGCCTATATATACGTTTGAACAATTTAACAAATCTATGTCATGTCTTCTCGCGCTTCCTACAAAATGTATGAGTATAGAAATGTATCGTTCAGCCATCCGAATTTTCCATCCGGCTCATACTTGAGTTACACACATGTCAACATTCACATATAGGTAAGACTTCATTTTTTTGTATACTTAATTTGCATTGCAACATTTTAATAACAGCAACATTTAGCCAGATATGTGTACAGAGAAGAACTAACACTAGCATTAGTTAAGCTTCATAGTTTCTGTATAGATTCAGACCTGTGGAAGACTCAAAAGTATTAATAGATAAGAAGATTGTGTCAGTAATGATCAAATGAGGAATTTGACAAGATTCGAGGCTTTAATGAATGATGTAATTTGTGCAGTATGTATATAATGCAAAAATCCACTAAATTAAATAATCGAGATGGACAATCGGTAGGAACAGACAATTTAATTTACATTTTTCTAGTTGAATCGATCAAAAGCTTGACTTAAGGAAATCTTTTTCAGAAACTATTCGAAATATGCACAACTTGTGCAAGCAAGTTCACTTCTTGTACCTGCCCAATAAATTATCAATTTAATTCGCCTTGGATACATGTGTTCGTTATTACATCATTGTGATTATTACATCATTGTTGTGTATTATACCATGTTGAACGTCGCAATTAATAAAAATTGGCAGCAAATGACAAGATTGAATAAATTCAAATAAAAAATATTTATAACACTCGCCGCGTTAATTAGACTGATTTATTAATTAAAAATATACTTAAAAATAATCTATTACATTTATAAAAATGCATTCGAATATTCTAAAAATATATATTAAATTGGCGATATTATGAATCTATCTGTTTGGTATTTGCACTAGTATACAGCTAACTAATGTACGTATATCTACAAAAATAATAGAATAGGTTGCTAAGAGAGTGAAATAAAATGCAAATATTGTTCTGAAATGTTTCAAAAATACTCGAAGATTATAACCCGATTACCTATGAAAAATGTTCAACTCCTATACACTTTAGGAGATCTTATTTCTAACCGAATCTATATCGTATATCATTAATATACGTTCTGCCATTAATTACGCAGCCAACGTTAATTAATTCATTATTAATTTTGAAATGATTATCATATTTCTCGAATAAATTTGTATTCAAAATATATGCATAGATTAATTTCGATCTCAATACTCTGCTTGCATTTTTTTTAAACCATTAATGATTATACATATATAATCATTACACATATATGTACATATTATTCATAATACAGTTACAAAGTCCAAATTATATCCTTGAACGATGCTTGATATATCTCAAAAGAATTATTAGGTATTGTTTGATCTTTACTATACCTCACACTTACTGTAAAATACTTATCCATTTATCAAAATCGATTAAATTAAATCAGTTTCAAATTTATCAAACTTATTATTTCACTTAAAGTTATGTGAATATCGTACTACCAAAGTGTCACGCAGTGCAATTGGTGCCGTTGAGCAAAGTATAAAAAAAACTGGAAACTTGGAAGTAAAACAATTGGTACAGTAGTTTGCAAAAGAGTAATCACCTGCAAGAAGCTCCCGTTCAGGTGACGAGTCCCTGGAATTACTATCCTCATGATGCGAAGAACTGCTTGCTCTACTGATATCAATTCGTGGCGTGCTAGGGGTCTTGAGCGAACTACCAGGCGTTGCCGGCGTGGTGACCTCGACGATACCCGGCATTCGCCCTGCCGCTACCGCCGCTGCCGCCGCCGACGCCGCCGCCGCCGCCGATTCTCCCTGCATTCAAATTCGTTTCCTGGTTTGTCGTAGCACAGTCACACGGGGTTGATTGGTTGGTTGTTGGGCTCAGGTCGCGGGCCAGCTTCTCGCAGTGACTCACAAAACTCACGGACGATCGAGAAGATTAATCTCGAGATCGCACACATACATCAGGATTCAAGTTCAGAATTTTAGAGAGATAAAAAGAAAAAAAGAAAGAATGATATAAGGAAAAGAGAAAGAAAAATAGAGAGATAAAGAATGATGGAAGGAGAGAGGGAGGGAGCGAAATAAAGAGACAGTAAGAGGGAAGGAGAAGAAGAGGGAGAAAGGGAAGAGAAAAGGGAAGGGAGAGAGATAAGGAGGAGGGTGGGAAAGAGAGAGGGGGAGGGAGAAAAGAGAATGGGGCAGGGAGGTAGTGGACTCCAAAATTAATTTTCTCTAAAATTTTTTGAGGTGGGAGGGAAGGGAAGGGAAGAGGAGAAAAAGGAAGGAAGGGGGAGGGCGAGAGGGCAGAGGGAGATGGGAAGAGAGGGGTAGCGGGGAGGAGGAGAGGGGTAGCGGGGAGGAGGAGAGGAGGAAGGGGGTAATGGGCAAAAGGGAGGAGAAGTGGGGGTGGAGAGGGGAGAGGGAGGGAGGGAG